AAGAAATTACTGGCCTAATCCTGTAAGGAAGGCAGGAAGGAAACATGCTGGTGTTGCTTACAGAAACTGCCTCTCCGTTAACCCTTATCACATTCTTGGCAGGACTAGACTTCCTGTCTCTGGAACTTCTCTGGATGTTTTTTCCCCCTCCTTTGCTGGTACTTTGCTTGTGTGGAGTGACCATTCAAAGTTACAATGGCACTGAAAAAAGTGACTTATGACCTTTTTTCACAATTACGACTGTTGCAGCATCCCCACAGTAATGAGAGGCCAGGCGAGGAGATGCGTGCCTCGATGTGAGTGATATTGAGTTGGCCACTCCCAGCCAATAACATGACCACCAAGCCATGTACACCCAGTCACATGACCAAGCCACACCCACAGAATTGGTTGTTAAATTTTTTTTGAATCCCACCCCTGGTCCCAGCTACAATCTGACTGCTCACTTCTTTTAGCTCGCAAAGACCAGATGCCACCCTCCACCCGATCCATTAATGCTTGCCAGCCTCTTGCAGCATTTGCTAGTCAGGATGGTGGTGATGGGAGAACGCTAAGACCAGCAACCCAAAATATTTCTTCCAACCAATTGCATCGCCACTACCGGGTAATTTTGCTCTTGGGCTGCCAAGTTTAACCATAAGAGACACCCTAATGACCTGGTGGTCAAGAAGGCCTGTTAATCCCATTTCCCCACAGCAACAATAGTGGCCACCCCACCCCTAGGGGTTCCCAGAAAGACTGATTCCTATCATCCCTACGCCCCTTGTTCCCTGGAGAAAAAGCAACAAAACAAAAAGCATCACTGAAGGAAGCCACAAAATAAATACTGTCTCTGGAAGGAGAAGGGCCAGGAGAGGAGAAGCGGGCATCAAAACAAACTTCTGGGGAAAACAATAGTTGGTGGCGCCTCTTGGGCCGAGCCTCAGAACAGCCCGTGTTTGGAGTGCCTGGGTGGTGAGAGGAAGGTGGCCACCCCTATCCTCATCTATTTCTCCTGTCCCTGACCAGGATCTTGGTACACGTGGTGGTGGGGTGTGTGAAAGAAGGTCCCTGCTTCACAGAGAAACCGGGGGGGGGGGGGGACAGTGACAGCAGCTGGTGGTCACTTGGAGAGCTTGCTGATCACACGAATAAGAGCGGCGTTTTCGTCTTTAAGACGCTGGTTGTCGGCTTTCAAATCTGAAAGAGCCTGTGAAGGGAGAGGCAGATACAAAGTCAAACTCCCAAGGCACTTCTTTCGATTACAGGCAGTCCTCGACTTACAACCATTCTTTTAATGACCATTCGAAGTTGCTACAGAACTGAAATAAGGGATTTATGACCGCTTTTCACGCTTACAATCGTGGCGGCGTGCCCATCGTCACGTGGTCAGGATTTGGATGCTTGGCAACTGACCTTATGGCAATGTGGAGGGTCACACGATCCCCGTTTGCAACCTTCCGACAAGCAAAGTCAGTGGGGAAGCCACTTAACGGCCATGGTACTAACTTAACATCTGAAGTGATTCACTTAACTGTGGCAAGGAAGGTCGTAAAATGGGGCAACGCTAACTTAACAATGGTCCTACTTAGCGACAGAAATTTTGGGCTCAGTTGTGGTTGTAAGCCGAGGACTACCTGCATCGCAAATTTATTTCCTCCCTGCCACCTCCTCCTTCCTCGCTCCCAGCCAAGCTACCCAGTTTAACCGGAGCAATTCCTCCTTCGACAAGAGAGGAATTACCTTCAATTCTTCCTCCAGCTCAGCAGCTTTCCTTTCCAAAGCGCGACGCTCCTGGTTTGGCACAGGTGGGACAAAGAGATGAAGTGAGAGTGGAAGCAGAAAAGGAATCCTAAGCATGCTTTCATGCTGAGTAGGGAGAAATCATCCTCTACAGAATAAAACCGGGTTAAATTGAACGTTGTGCGGTTTAGAATTCCTACAGGCCATATATACTAGTCATTTTTCTGGTAAACACAAGTGGAGATAGCCAGGAACTCCTCTCCTTCTAGGGCAGGGTACAAATCATCTAGATTAAAAGTGTACACATTTGGCCTTGAAATCCCAGCCTTTAGTGGCTGTAAAAATGTCCACTCAATCACTGTACTCCCCTCAACAGCATAACTGCCTCACTGACAGGCTTCTCCCAAAAGGTGGCACCCACCCGTTTGATGGATCAGTTTTTGGCAATGCAGGAGAGGGGAAGGAATAGGAAGGAAGGAACAAATACTCACAAATCTCTCTAGTTCTAGAAGAGCCGGCCGCTCAGCAAAGCGCTCCTGCCTCTGGAAAGGACAAGCAACACAAAAAAGATTTAAAATAATTTCTCTGCTTATTTGTGTTAACATTTTTAACCTTCCCCTTTGCAGATCTGAAGACAGGATATGACTGATAAAATAAGCCATACAATACAGCAATGCACAACCGAGGGAAGACAGGAATGAGAACCTGAGGGACAGAAGTGGTTTATTATTTGGGGAGGGCGTTCTACAGATTTTGGGGTGGGGGGTGGGTGGGCGTGGGGATCACAGAAAATCCAGAAATGCACCTCAGCTGAAGATCACACTCTATACCAGCAAGTTCAGAGAGGTAAAAACTGGATCCATGTTTCCTGGACCAGAAGGAACGCTAGGCAAGCAAACTATCTTACGTCTATCAATTCAGTCACTTTCTTAAGATATCCACGGGTGAACCAGAATTGTAAATATTGGGAGAAACAGCAGCCAATACAAGATTACTCAGCACAATAGGTTGGTGTTTTTGTTAGCAAAACTGTTCCAGATTAATTGCAAAGATGGAAATCTAAAGCAAATACACACTAAGGCTATGCATTTTATTTACCTGTTAACTTTAACTTTTAACTTTGTTAACTCCTTTCATTCTGGAAGTCTAGGAATGGTATGTGGGAATGATGAAGGGTGGAGAAACGCTGCCTAGGGAAGAGTCAGATAAGTGGGAGCACAGCTCACAGCCGTATAGTGGAGCTGAGCAAGAAGCTCAACGGGGATCCTCCGTAAATTACTGAAGGCGATGTAGGAGAATTACACTTTCAGGCTTGCAAAGATTCTGTAAACACAGCTTTACGATGAAACAGAATCAGAGTATTTGGGCTGTTTCATTTCTGGTTTTCCTCATAGGCTGGGAAGGAGGCATATATGGTGCTCCATCCTTCCATTTTCGCCCACAACAACAACCCTGAGAGGTAGAAAGCAAGAGATCATGAATTCAAATCTTAGCCATGACCTTTCAAGTCCAGCTCACTTCACAGGGTTGTTGTTGTGGGGAAAATAGGAGGAAGGTATGTTGTGGCATGTTTGCTGCCTTGAGTTAGTTGTAAAAACAACAAAGGTAGGATATAAATAAAATAACTGGCCCCAGATATCTAAAGAACTTCTGTTGCATAGGATGGACCTTAGTATCCCTACTCCTGATCCTAGACTTTAAGCACAACACTCCACATTCTGTATTCCAATAACAAAAAAGGAGATTTTGGCTCTACAGCCTCTCCAGTCTTCGCCAGCATCAGTTGCATGCTGATGCTCTCAGTCCCAATATGCCTCTCCAGTCCTCCCCTTGCCCCGGCCCCTACCTGGGTCACTCTTTCCAGCTCCAGCTTAATCTGCGTCAGTTGGAGCTGCGCCTCCTGCAACTGTTCCTTCAGCTTTTCATTCTCAATCAAGAGATCTTCATACAGCTTATAGTTACACGTGGGAGGGGGGGGCGGGGAAAGGGGGGTGGGAATAAAAAGAAAGGAGGCAAGGAGAAAGATAAGCAAGTGCAAGATACATCAGGATTCCTTTGCAGCCATTTTTTTTTGCCTGCCCGGTTTAAGTGCAAAACCCCACTTCTCCAAGCACTAACTTTCTTATAATAGTTGTCTGGTTCTTCTCTGCAGCCTGACGGCGCGCTGTTCCCTCTCTGGCAGCCAGGAGGTGCTGTCCGGTTTGGCAGAAGGCTGTTTAAGTGATCACTGAAAAACAGCAGCAGAGGGAGGTGGTCAGCACTGCCCCCTGCTGGCTCCTCCTTTGCATGATGCAAAATTCAGATAGGTACAATATTAATTTGGAGAAAAAGACTCAAAAGGAAAACGACAGGTCTAGAGGTGCTTTAACACAACAACAACAATATATGCCAGCTTTGTGTGTTACTGCAGAAATGGGTGTCTTCTCGCCTGGGAAGGAGGCTGCCGAGTAGTCAACGACCAACCCAACATTTCTGGAGTAAAGCAAGCTTCAAGAGGGGACAAAATGGAAGAAGCATTTTTTTTTTTTTTTGGTGTGGGGGGAGAAATTCCAGAAAGAAATTAGTGCTTTTAAACCAGGAGTGTCAAACTCAATGTCATTGAGGGCCCCATCGGTTGTGTTTGACCTCAGTGTGTGGGTGTGATCAGGGTGAGCATGACCAGCTCGATGTCACTCATGTCGGGGGGGGGGGGGAGGCTCCCAGGCTCCATTTTCAGCTGCGAAAGCCTCCTGCAGCGCTCTGCCAGTGAAAACGGAGCTTGCAATCCTCCCGAGCTCTGTTTTTGCTGGCAGAGCGCCGGAGGAGGCCGTTGTAACTGAAAACTGAGCTTGGGAGGGTGTCCCCGACATGAGTGATGTCAAGCTGGCGGAGGCACTGTGGGCCAGACCTTCGCTGACTTTCCAGGGCAACCCGCAGGCCAGACCTAAGCACTACATGGGCCGAAGTTTGACTCCCCTGCTCTAAACACACGCAGATATACAACATGGATCAAGCATTTCAAGAGCCTCTGTGGCCCAGTGGTTAGAGTGGTGTACTGCAGGCTACTTCTGCTGACTATCGGCTATTCAAATTCCACCAGGCTCAAGGTTGACTGGGCCTTCCATCCTTCCGAGGTGGATAAAATGAGAACCCAGAGTGTTGGGGGCAAAAGGCTGACTCTGTAAAAGCTGCTTAGAGAGGGCTTTAAAGCACTATAAAGCGATATATAAGTGTTACTGCTATTTCAGCCTCCGAGGGAGGTTTTAGCAGCTACACCCAATCCACGGCTACTTACATGCGATCACAGTTTCTGGAAGTTAAGTCGTGGCGACAGGACTTCTTTTCTTCTTGTTTGAAATGTTTCCCTGCTCCTCCAAGTAGCTTCTTCAGTCTGGAGTCTACTTGGATAAGCAGCGAAATGTTGCCAACTGACAAGAAAAGAAATCCAGCTGCCATGACTCAACTTCCAGACAAGGCTATCTGAATGGCTGAGAATCTTTACCTGTAACAAAGTGATCGGCATTTGTTGCTGCCCTTGTTTTAAGACCCTACAGGGCAATGAAGGTGAATCTTTCACACGGGGGTCACATGCCATGCCTATTTTGGTGACATGCCAGAAGTCTAGAAGACCCTCTGGAAGTTGTGCAAGAGGGCCTTGCTCTCACACGGCCCCTGAAGCCTCTGAAATGCATGTGAGAATGGGGTGCCATTCCCCATGCCTTTTAGAAGCTACGAGGCCACACAGGAGCCTTTTCTGAAGTTTCCAGGCCTCATGCAATCCAGAGCTGCCCTGGATAGCATTTTGAAAAATATTTACTATTACGGCATGCATGCATTTTTTAAACGATCGATTTAAATAATTTATTACTTGTTATGAATTGTTTCTTTTGTTCAGGTGTGTGTGTGGGGTGTGTGTGTGTGGATGAGGGAGAGAGGAGGAAGGGGGAGAAGGGGGAGGGAGAGACAGACAGACAGACATGCCAGCAGAGTCAAAACAAACGTTTTCTGAATTTTTGACACTCTGAGCCCAAAAGGTTTGCCATCACTGCTACAGGGGAATCTACCTGCTATGTACTGATGGATCTTCATTATGTTCAGTGTCTTCATCTTCCTCCCCCTAGAAAAAGAAAAAAAAATTGCAGTTCACAGGCTCTCAAGAGGCTCTACATAGTAATCGTGGGCGCACATAAAAGGCATCCCGAAGATTCACTGTAACCTCCTATTTGTAGCCTGAACTCCACCCTTCCTCCAGGGCATCAGCCCACTGTCGTGGTCCCCTTCTTGTTTACCTCTGAGTTTCCTCCCAAACCGGTGATGCGCCTCTCTCGCCGGCCTTTCCTGCGGTCTCGGATAGCCAGCCTGTTCCGGAGGTCTGTGTCCAGCTCAGAGCCAGCCTTATCGACTTCCGTTCCTGCAGTTTAAAAGAAGACAGGCAGCTGAGTTTGGGCCGTTGACCTCCCGAGCTCAACAACACAGCTTGGAGGAGACAAAAGCTTCAAGGCTTCCTTGAGATTGGCACTGTGCAAACACACAGGGAGAGAATGAAACAAGTCAGGATCGAAGGAGCTAATGCCAGTCCACAGTGAAACATGCCAAGCAGGCAAACTGAAAACGGAGGAGAAAAAGAAAGAAAGAAAAAATAGTCACCTGAATACAAGGGTTACCTTTTTGGAGCTGCGAATTCACCACTAACGGATTCACAGTATAAACTGAAGAACTGTCTGAACTGAGGAGCCGGAATCGCCTAGCGGAGTCCTGAACGAGGTGTTGGAGAATGAAGTCAGGGAGAATAAGAAGGAAGACCAATTACAAACAAGCTTTGCCCTGGGCTCAAGGCAACAGGGCCGCATTTTGTAGAGGGCCAAACTAAAGCTTGGGGTGACTGAAAAGGCTTGTGCGATGCGTGCCACTACTGCGCTCCGCAGGACGTGCCAAATTACACCAGATCCTCAACTCAACCCAAGGCCAGCGGAGACACGCGAGGAAAGCCACCCCCTCTCCATCCCATTCCAAAGGGTTATTAGTATCCTGCTCAGCCTGGCAATGGCCGCTTCCTTTTTCCTTTCAGAGGCCCTTTGCAAAGGATCTGCATCCTGTAGCATCCGTCGTCCCGTTCAGAGGCCTATTCTCTCTCCCCTGATCCATTTCTCATTGGATCAGGTCCTCTCCTGCCCAGGACTTTCTACGATGCTGGAGGGGCTGGACTGCAATCCACCCGCCTCAATGGATCCCTACCGTTGTCTCTTGAGGCTGCTGTTCCCCGTCTTTGTTCCGCTTTTCCTCCTCCTTGTTCCTTTGTTCTGAAGGAGTTTTGGAATCGCTGGTCCAGACCATGGTCTTCTCAGCCTCCTTTAGGTCCGTAAGCGTCACTCCCTAAAAAGGGCACGGAGAGGCCAAAAAAAAAAAGGGGGGGGGGGAACGTGGGGATGGAGGAAAGAGAGAAAGGGGAAAGTGTATCCATCAGTAAAATACCTTGCTGATGGGATGGTGGCCACGAAAAGTTTCGTGAAGTTTCGAGTTAGGCCAAGAAAGCAGTGCCTGAATTGGTGCCACCTGTGTAGCATCACCTTCAAGCCTCAGCCAGGTTCTTCTGCACCAACTCTTACCTGTGTGGAGCGTCTGGATTGTCTCATGAGCCTAGAACGGGCTTTTCTTTGGGATTCAGACTCTTCATCTCGCACTGGCGTCTGGTATGACCTAGCAGGAAGACCCTGGTGGTTAGGCAGCACGTAGAGGTTTTCCCTCATACTTTCTATAGCTTTGAGCCGCCCTCCCGCCCCGCCCCGCCCCGCCCCCAGTTCCTGCCAAGCCTCGTAGAGCTGCTGCATTGGTGGGACATTGGGACAGGGAAAGGAGAACTCCGTGTAAATTTCGCAAGTGTTGGTTTTTGCGTGGCTTCTTCCACTTTTCCTGGCCAAACACCGTACCTTCCATTTTGCCAGGTAAAGCCGTTAGTCATGCCAGAGAGGTGGAATGAAACGGAAGAGGTGGAGGAGGGAAAAGCAGCTGGCAGTGCCCCTTTCATTTGGTCGAGCCCAGTGGGTCAGAGAGAGATTCTAAGATGGCATAACAGGCGTATATGTGCCATCCCGTATGGAGCATTTATCCCAACACAGAAAGTCTGTCGTTCTTCCATCGGACCCAATTGATGAGCAAGATCAAACAGACGCTGGGAATAAATGTCTGGCCCAAATACTCTCCCTTTTTGATACTATGAAGCAGACACCGGCACACCAGTAGTGAAAGTTAATAAAAATGCAAGGAACTCAAATAAATTTAAGGCCAGAGGATCAGGATAATAACTGCACCAAAAAGAGGCCAGCCCATTTGACTTTCTATCATGGTGCCCTAAGTGCTCTCCGTACTGCCTGCCCCTGGCCCAGCCAACCCTCACCTTCGGCGGTCCCGGGGATCGATGCTAGAGCTGATGGTAGTGGAAGAGGGGGGCTGGTGTGGGGTAGGGGCTGTATCTATCTTCATCTGAAGACCACCTTCTAAGTTTCTGCGGGGAGTGAGCAAGAACACAGAAAGAGAGAGAGGGACGGAGGGAGGGAGAGGAAGAGAGGGAGGGAAGGGGGTAGGGAGGGAGGGAGACAGAAAGGGAGAATGCGCAAGAGAATATTTAGAGGGGCCTCCTTGACTTTTGTGAGGTTTCACGACACCAATTCATTGCTCTCAGAAATTCAGGCTAGTGGTCCATTGGCGGCTCTTGTGCGCATTAATTGTGAGGCAATATTCCCCCTCCCCTTGCCAGTTCAGCAAAAATACCTAATAAACTCTTTGGCTCCTTCTTTTACAAAGGTAGGACAGGTATTGCAAGGTTTTAAACCGCGAACAGTAAAAAGTGACCCTTACTCGAAATCGATAAGGGTGCTCTTAAAAGACCAAATAAATTAACTGAAATTGTAACACTCACTGGAAAGCACGGCAGCTTCGCTTTCCCATATATTTCTGTCTTCCAGTGACACCATTCTCTACTCAGAAACTAAAAGCAGTCCCAATCTATCCTATCGCTTAAAACAATGGATCTTCCAGTCTAGGAACAAATCTTCCAGAAGTTCCTTCAAACTCGCAGTAGCCGCAGCCAATACGGCCAACGGCTGGCAAATATTTGGAATAGAAAGCCTAACATCTGGAGGATCAAAGGCCTCCTAACTCATTTTAACTTAGTGGGTTTCACCACTCAAGAGATCATCAAGAGATCCACCCTCACCAGAGGATGAGAAAGGCAAATATGTCCACCCTGCCTGGGAAAAGCCGACCGGCCCTTTTCAGCTAACTAGCTTCATGTCTGAACAAGATTCCAATCCAGGCCTCTCAAGCCAAAGTGTGCCATTTTAATTTATCCATGGAAAATTACTCACGCACGCCGAGGATCCCGGTGGGGTTCTGTGTCTGGAAGGGCAAAGATCCGGCGAGTGGGAGTTGGGATTACTCGTGCCAGACGTGGCTCTTTGTTCTGCAAAAGAAGATGGGAAAAAAAAGGAGAGAGAATGTAACGATTGACGGCTGTTTCTCTGCTACCTTCTATTCGGGCAAGGAGTGGGGGCTGCTCAGAGGCTAGGTGGAGATTCAGGAGGCTTTGGGGAACCACCAATGTGAACACTGCATTTCTGTAACAGGGAGGGTGGGAGCAACTCCCCCTTAATGCCAGAGGAACTGCTCTACCGAGGATGGAGAACGAAGAACAGAAAAGCACTGCCTCTCTAACAGGGTAGCTGTGGCTCAGACAGTACAAAGAAAAAAATGTTTAAAAAGAGCGGGGAAAGAGCAGAGGCAAAAGGAAAACTGAAACAAAAGGATGTCCAGTAGAATCCTGGACCGTATTTGATTCCCACCAGAGGCTGTTGGTGCCCATTTCCCTTTATACTTCCATGGCTCTCGAGGATCCCCCCGCCCCAAACACGCACATGCTTAACCCTCCCCTGCCCAAATAAAGCAAAGTTAGCAAGGAAGGTATCCAGCCACCCTCTCTGATGGGTAGAGGCTCCTACCGGGTCACCAGGTGGCTCAGAAGCTGTGTTCCTATTGGCTAACCATGGGCCAATGGGATTCTTGCTCCACTTCTTCAAGAGCTCCTGGATGTCTTGCTGCAGATAATACAGGCAATGACAGGATCGGGATGGAGAGGGAGGGAAAGAGAAAGAAAAGAAAAAGAGGGCACAGCAGAGACATACTGGTGGCAAAATCCGTGTCCTAAAAACCCCGTGCTGAAAAGCCACCCCACTGGAGGGAAACAAACCCACACTAGAGGTCACAGACAATGCAAGGCTGCTAGATCTGAGGGTCAGAAAGAAGGGAATAAGTAAAAAGCAGAGGAAGAAGAAAAGTAAAGTGTTCTGCCTTTGACCAAAAAAAAAAAAAAAAAAAAGCGCTAAACACAAAACCCAATTTCTTCTTCCTCAAACAACTGTGATGTCTCCTTTGGCTTTGTTTGCATCATGAGGGGGAAAAAAAAACCCACCGCAAAGATGACCCGGACCTGAGAAAGTCTGGGTCCACTTAAGCCTTCAGAAATAATAAGACCGGCTCTTGAAAACTTAACCCAAAGCACCAATCTTTGGCATATTCTCAGAACAGTTCGTTGTTCACAAAGAGAGGTAGGCAAAGTATGGCTTGGCAGAATTTTCCCATCCTAAAATAACCCCTTCCTGGCCTTGGAACAGGTGGCTCCAACTCTTCCGGACCCTGATCCATTCTACCTCAGCCAAGACTAGGCAGCCATTTTGCACCTGGGGCCCCTAAAGATGGATATTGTCACTAGAAAGGAGTAGGGGCAATTTTCCATCCCTTTCTTCAAGTCTGTCGGAGATTTAACTACACGTATTTTGCTTGGAGGTGCTCTTTTTTTAAAAAAAAATGTACTTAGCCATTCTTCGGTCAGCCATCAAGAAGACTCTAGGTTCCACTCTTGGCAACTTTTAAGACTTGTGGTTTGCAACTCCCAGAATTCCCCAGGCAGCATGTTAAAGTCCACCAGTCTTAAAGTGGCCAAGATTGGAGGTTTTCTGCTCTAGAAGGCTGAAGGTTGCTCACTGATTATCTAGTCAACATCATCTCCTCTAAGTGGCAGAAGCTTTCCAAAGATCAGAAAGTCCTGCTCCTTAAACTTTTTTTAAAATACAAGGGAGTCCTCCGTTGTTAAGTGAGCTTTGCCCCATTTTATAAATGCCAGAAGATGATTCTACCAAAACTGATGGAAGATGACAAACCAGGAAGTACCTGGTGTTTCTATTACATGACCAACAAATATCATTTCAAAATGGCTGGCTTGCATACCATTCAACCTAGGATATCCAACAGTCTGAAAATTGAGATCATTTGCTAATGCCTTACTCTGCATGCTTTTTTTCTTCAGAGATACCTCGGTTATGAATTATTCTTTAAGTAACAGCTGATATTCCCTAGAATTATGAGATAAAATCTATAGCTAGTTTAGCTTTTCATCTGGTACTGTGGGCTCGTTTTGACCTATTTATGGGTTTCCTTTGAATTTGCCTCCTTTTTAAATTGTAAATCAAACTTCACTCAGCCTTCCAGCCTTGGGGGAAAGTTCCTGACTCTGTAAACCATTTAGACCATGGGTGTCAAAAGTGCTGCATCATGTTGATGTCATGTGATGTATAACGGGTTTTTGCCTTCATGGAGCTGGGGTGGTGTGCCCTGCATGTGATACATCTGCCAATTTGACACCCCTGATTTAGACAGTGCTGTAAAGCACCATGAAGCGGTGTATAAGTCTAAGTGCTATTGCTATAAGGAGATCAATCAATCAGAATAGAGCTGGAAGGGACCTTGAAGGTCTTCTAGCCAGCAGGTCTTCTGCTCTAGCAGGCTATACCCTATACCCATGATGGTGAACCTACTGAACGCATGCCACAGGTGGCACGCAGGGCCATTTGTGCGGGCACGCGAGCCCCAGGCAAACTTACCTTACTGCATATGCACATACCTCCCAGCTGATTTTTGGCCCATTTGAGAACTTTTCCGACCTCCCAGAGGCTCAAGGGAAGCATCTTCAGCCTTTGTAAGCCGAAAAAAAGGCCCGTTTCGTCACTTCCTATATTTCCGGAAATACCGGAAATGACAAAACAGGCCCATTTTTCGGCCTACAAAGGCTGCAGAGGCTTCCCCTGACCCTCTGGGAGGCCGAAAAAGGCCTCTAACGGGCCGAAAATCAGCTGGGAGGCGCAGTGCAGGTAAGGGGGCAGGGGGTGGGGGAATCACACACGCATTGTCTTCTAAGGGCTGGCATGTGATAATTTTTGTGCAAATTTTTGGCACAGGAGCCCAAAAAGGTTAGCCACCACTGCCCTATACAATTTGAGACAAGTGGCTGTCCAGTCTCTTCTTAAAAACCTCAAGTGATGAAGCACTTACCCCTTCTGGAGGCAAGCTGTTCCACTGGTTAACTGTTCTCATTGTTAGGAAGTTTCCCCTTAATTCCAGTTTGCTTCTCTCCTTGATTAGTTTCCATCCATGGTTTCTTGTCCTGCCTTCTCGTGCTTTGGAAAATAAGTTGACCCCCTCCGCTTTGTGGCAGCCCCTCAAATACTGTAATAATGCTATTATGTCACCCCTAGTCCTTCTTTTCTCTAGACCAGCCAAACCCACATCCTGCAGCCGTTCTTCATATGTTTTAGTCTTCAAGCCTTTCATTGTCCTAGTTGCTCTTCTCTGCACTTTTTTTTTTTTAAAAAAAGGTCATTATTTGGACAACTGATGAGAAAGAAGGGAAATGAAACAGATACCAAAACTGTCAAATATAAGCCTGAAGCTTTTACCCACTCTTTCCCACGAACTGAAGGATCTTCCCCTGACTGGATTCAAATAGACCAAAAAGGCTACTGTTTAAATTCCTTATGGCACAAGGGCCAGTTGTGCTGTCTAGAGATCAGAACAGTTGGCATCCTTCTCCTGCTCCTTGTATGAAGGTAGAGCAATCCAAGACTTTCCTATTTCTTGATGCCACCCTCCACTACACCTGAGTGCAGCAGGCTAGCTTAGAGGTGCATGGGAGGCCAAGTGTTACAAAGGTGTTTCCAAAAACACATGGCTAGCGCCAACTCTCAGAATCAACCACTTGAGAAAAATGTTAGAGTTTAACATAATGGTGAGGCTGGCCATGCCTGACCTGCCTCTCAACCAGCTTTGTCTCTGCCCAACTCACCTTTTCTTCTTTATCAAGCCGGGGACTGGACGCTGAGCGCTTGATGCCGCTGCCCCCCTTGGGGACCCCTTCATCCAACTTGGCATCCTGCAATACACCGAAGCTGCTTGTTTTGCGCAGGCTCTGTCTCCATGTGGCTGGAGCTGGCAAACTCCCTGGCTCCGTGGTGCGGCTAGGGCCTCCAGAGAACTGGTGGGGAGGGATAGAAGAGGGATAGATAGAGCAGAAGGGGACAAACAGGGGAAGCGGAGAGAAAAGGAAGGAAAGGTAGTCAGGATGGATGAAGGGAATTTTCACTTAAAAGAATGGAACTGGAAGGAGCAAGGTGGGGTACCCAGGTTGGGCTAGACCAAGGAATTCGAGACCTGAATCACTGAGGGCTCCTTAAGATAGGGGCCCTCCAAACTTGGTAACTTTAAGACCTGGGGACTTCAGCTCCCAGAATTCCCCAACCAGCCATGCTGGTTAGGGAATTCTGGGAGTTGAAGTCCAGAAGTCCCAAAAGTTGCCAGGTTTGGAGACCCTGCCTTAAGAGAAGAAACCACCCCAAAACTCTGGTTTGCAATCAATACACCAGACTCTTAACTTGATAATAAAGTGGAAACTTTTCACTTTCCTCTCTCTTGAGGAGACTGCGGGTGCCAACCTGAGAAGAAACAGAACTGGTTGGGTTTCAAGGCAAGAAGCGTAGTACTTCCACAGTCAGCTAGCTAAGGGGCTCTGATTCGTTTCTCCAAAGCAGGTGGTGCAGGAAAGGGTCAAAGCCACCCAAGGTTGCCCTTATCCGAAGACCCCCTTTTTATCACCTGAAAGCTTTCAGAGATTACGGAGGAATAGCTACCGGTACTTGGCATATCCTCAAGGTGTTCCAGAGCATGCCTGAACACAAAGGTAGGATTTCAGGCTGAACTATACCTCGGCTGAAAGGAGCCAGAACTGCAGTCTTCTCAAAGCAGCAATTCCTGAAAACCTCTTTCTTAAAGATATTCTTCCATAGATTAGAAACAGATCTGCCTCTTGAGATGAAGAATACCGTCAATCTAACAACCTTCGGAAAGGCCTTAAAACCCTTCATATTTGGCAGAATGCATGAGTACAGGCAAGTTTTGGGTGCTTAGTTGGTTGGATAAGATCTGGGTTTTGACATTTTTATTGCTCTGTAAAGTGCTTCAGGTTCCGCTGGGCACTGTAAAAATATTGTTTGTATAAATAAACAAATAAAGGGCGAAACAATGGAGGGATTACTCTATTGTATATGTAGCTGCCTATTACGCAATTTAGGAGCAAGCAGTCCTGGGGTCATTAAGAAGTGATTTCTTAAGCAGGGCTGCACACTATGCAGATTACATTAATACAAACATAGCATGAGGGACCACTGAAACCCCCCAAGCCTGCCCCAAAGTCTTTCTAGAAGACCTCTTGTAATTCTGACAGTCCAGAATCTCTGCAAGACAAGGCTACCTGTTCCTCTCATCCCATCACGAAGCCCTTGCCAATGCAAATTCCAAAATGGAAGAGCTAATGCCCGCATCGAGAAGAGCTACAACCAGCACAGAATTTCAAAATGCTACCAGGGCAGAGGAAACAGACAGTCCTGGAAAACTGCCTTACTGCACCGCCACACTTTCAGAAGTGTGACGTTTCAGAGAAATCACGCCTGCTGCATTTCTCAGGCCCTCCCTCCATCCTGGAGGAACTTCACTTGGATTGACGCGATTCCCTTGTCTGCTTCGCACGGCCCTGCTCTACAATTCACTGTACCTGGATAACTTTTCAACAGAGCGGGCAGTCTTCCTGCCCACCCTATCCAGAGTTACATTCCCCTTTAGAAGTGACGCCGGAGAAGACCCACAATCGTGCCAACGGAGAGTAGAAGGTGGGACCAACGTGCTTCCTTCTTTGTCCTTCCCTCTCCCCACTTGTGTAATTTGTAACACACTTTTTCCCTCTCCTTTCCATCTATCTGCCAGGGAAAGGCCTAACCGCTTTGGACTTTGGAACTCAAGCTGATGGTTGTTGTAGCTCAAGGGCCAACCTCCCTACTGAAGTATCGCTTGACCCCAATAGTTTATAATCTTAGCGGCCCTCTTCATTTCCTCCCTTGGGCATCTTTAGGCTGCTAAATCGCTCTTTCTTCCCAAACGCTAGTAACATCCTGAGAGGCACGGATAAACAAAAACACAGCACCCCACAGTGCACAGAGAGGGAACTACAGCATTATCGGCAGCCCCGCATCCTGTTTCACACACTAGCCAGGAGATGCTTGCAGAATCTTCCCACAGAGGCAAGTACAGAGTCAGGATTTTCCTTTAATCTCGTGCGCACCAAAGGGATGGACAACCAAGAGAACAGCCGGCAGGGGTTCCTGTGGAGAAGCCTCTCTCCACTCCACTCGCAGTCAAAGGCTGACTCCGCCACCAACAGCTCTGTCGCAGATTAAGAGGTTTTTTTTTTTTTTAAAGCCCTACTCTGGCCTCCCCTCTTTGTTCATTTTTGCAGGGCACTCACAGCATTTGTCATTTGTCCCTTCTGGGGCACCAGAACGATTCCTGTTTTACGCAAGCATTGTCTCCACGTGGAAGGTACCAAAGGGCTTGGGATAGGCAGCAGAGGCAAAATGAAGGCGAACTGTGGCTGGAGTGAGCGGGTGGAACGAGAAAGTGAGGAGGAGGAAAAGGAAACACGTTTCACAATGGATGGAAGACGCAGGAAACAAATGTCAGGACAGGGAAAAGAAAACAGAAATGTTCAGGGTATTTTATACAGCGCAGATAAGAGATGACATGCAACAGAATGGGGAAGACACGCAGAGGAGTCCAACCAAGAAAGGCCTCTTTGCAAATGTAGTCCCTAGACTTGCTTTTGTGGCAGCATCCCACAGCAGGGCAAAAGTTCGAGGCAAGCAATAAAGGGTTAATCGAGCATGCAAGATGAAGGCATGCTTTTTTTTAAAAAAGGTGCACTGAGATGAATTCGTCACATGCTTTGTGCAAAAGAGCAAGCAAGAGCTGATGGAGGGCTGGAAGGAGAAGAAAAGGCGACATTTCTAAGCGGGAAGATGGTTATTATTTTATTCAGAGGCGGGGCCACACCGAGTGCAGGACTAAAGTCTCTATCTACTACTACTTCTGTGAAATTGAAGAGTTCAGGGGCTCCTCTTGCTGCAAAGAAAAACTTTGCAGAAAACTTTGCTGAGTATTTGAAACTTGTATGATTCATCAAATATAGCTGAGGCACAATATTTAGGCCCTTGCTAGCGTCAGTCAGCTGTGCTGGTTATCTACTTGAGGAAAGTTTTTTGGGGGCAGAAATGTTACCAATGAAATTCCCCTACAGGTAGTCCTCAAGTTACTACCGGTTGCTTAGCTACCGTTCAAAGTTACGTAGGACCCCGAAAAAGGGTCTTAAAGCCCAGATTCAAAGTTCTGATGCCCATGGTCACATGACTCCATTTTGGATGCCGGCCCACTAGCCCATATTTATGGCCATTTGCAGAGTCACCTGTCTTTCATTTATGACATTGTTGCTGGAAACTGGTGTGCTTGCTTCCATTGTCCAGCAAAAAATAGAGAACAATGAGTTGCTTAATGACATGTTTGCTCTACAACCGTGTTTTCTTTAGGAACCACCAAGAAAAAGATAATAAAATCAGGTATGATCACGTGATAACCTGCTTTATATGACTGTCATGACTTACGACTGAGACTGCAGACTCAATTACAATTGTTAAGTGAGGAATACCTGGACTTGTACTGTACAAATGGCACAGTCCAGTACTGTTCTGTGGTATATGCAGCCTGTGCTCAGGGCATAGGGATACTCCTTTGAGACCAGCACCTGCAGTCCCATATTAAGTGGCATGAACAAGCCGAGAACATAAAGTGACTAGAGCCCCTGAAGTGTTTGTCACCCTCTAGTAAAACTGTTTACCGTGTGGGCGCAGGAGTTGGATTTCAACCACATCACAGTACCAGTAATGATCCTATCTGGACCCACAACTGTAGAAGGAAACTGAGACAGTGGAGAGAGGAAGTTCAAGAACACCTGACTTCCTTCGCCACCACGATGCCTTGCCTTACCTTTGGCCCAACGGGACATGGGGACAAAGGCCTAATGGGAGTCACAGATACTCCGTTCACTGCACTGCTGTCTGCTGGGGGAACAGCCTTCACTTCTGCAAGAGAAGAGGCGGCAATTAGCCATCAGCCCTGTCAGGACTTGGGCACTGGCTGCTGCATCCCTCCACTCACCATTGGACTCCGGTGTTTCATCCCCTTCCGAAGCTGAACTGGTCTCCTCTTCGCCAACGGCTATGGTACCGAGGGTTTTCCTCTCCTTTGACTGGTCTTGGACAGAGATTTTTTCTTTGCTGCTCATGCGACAAACGGAGCTCCTAGGAGAACCAAAGGGACAAGTGGACAGGAGAAGAAAGATCTCACTCGTTTACCCTGCCAGATATATGTCACAAAATCAGTTATGCATGGACTCAACCCAAACTAAAGAACACGGTAAGGTGGTAACTCCAACCCACCTGGGCAACCCCTGGTTCTGTCTCTTCCTTTTTCATAGTTATCATTTGATTCAAGTTATTACTTGATGAAGCAGGTAACACTCTCATCGCTTCCTATTTGTTGGCTGGCATCTTCTTACTACAATGACTTAGAATAATTTATTGGCTACCTTAGGGAAAGGTTAATTACTTATTTATTTGTTTAAATATATTATCTGCCCAACTCCAACTGGTATGATAGGAATCGCTGTCTTTGAGATAATATACCTTTTTATTTTCTAACATGGATTTCAGATCATTTAAAAAGAGTCACAGACATAGTGATTAAAATGCAGTACTGCAGGCTATTTTTGCTGACTGCCTGCAATTTGGCAGTTCGAATCTCACCAGGCTCAAGGTTGACTCAGACTTTCATCCTTTTGAGGTGGGTAAAATGAGGATCTGGATCGTTCGGGACAATATGCTGAGTCTGTAAACTGCTTAGAGAGGGCTGTAAAAGCACTGTGAGGCGGTATATAGCACTGTGAAGTGCTATTGCCATTTAAGAAGCGTCCAACCAGTCTAGATCCAAGAATATACAGATGGTCCTTATTTAACAACCACTCATTCATTCAGTGACCGTTCACTCATGATGGAGTGATTGATGGCTGTGACTGGCCCTTTGGGCACAGCACTTCACAGCATTTCTGCGGTTATGTAACCCAGGTGCTCCAAGCCCAGCTCGCAATTTCAACACTGTAGCATTCCATAGTCAAGTGATCACTAGTTGCAACCCTGGAAGCTTTCTACAAGCGAAGTCAGTGGGGAAGCCAGCAGGAGGTTGTAAATGGCGACCACATGACGTCCTTGCTTTACAACCCATGGCAATTCACTTAAAGACAGCAACCAGAAATGTTGGAATATCCATCACTAAGTCATGTGAGACATTGTGCTTTACAGCCACATGAAAATGGCAAATGAAAATCCAAGTCCCAATCCCAGTCAATAATCAAGTGTTGTACTTATGTGGGCTCAGTGCTACAGATGTGAAAGTACAAGAACGATAACATCATTCCATCTCTGATGGTGAGGAAGGACTTACATGCCTTAAACCAAGGGTGTCAAACTCGCAGCTTCACATTGCCGTCACGTGATGTTTCACAATGTTTTCCCCCCTTCATGGAGCTAGGGTGGGCGTGGCCTGTGCGTGACGCATCCGGCCCATGAGCCACCGGTTTGACACCCCTGCATTATACCAATGTTTTTCAACTTCAGCAACTATAAGCTGTGGTAAACGTCAACTCCCAACATTGCTGTCTGGAGATTTCTGGGAGCTGAAGTCCACACAACTTAAAGCTGACAAGGTTGAGAAATACCACCTTATACTCTACAATGTTTTCTACAGCAGAAGCCATATGAGAAAATTCATAAACAGGCCAACAATCTGCTTACAAATCCAAAAATTGCCGCCATGATGACCCAACTAAGTCCTACTACAAGTACGACAACGAACAGTTCTTGCTAGGAGATTTTCTTTCCTGACAACAGGCACTTGTAATTTGCACAGGCTCAACATACAACCACAAACAAAAAGACCAATCTGACAGCTGCAATGTCGAACCATAAACATTTCTGCAGGAAAGGCTTGTCAAACTTGCTGTACATCAAATAAAAGATTTTCCCCTCCAAAGTTGTCTTGCCACTTAAGATTTTCTGGAAGTGTGGTGGCGTGGATTTCACACATCTGATTCCAGGGCTAAAAAACCTAGATTAAAACTTTAAATTACAAGTGTCTGAAAGCAAAGGCTGAGGCTAGGGAGTTGTGGAAGTGAAAACTTGGTATTTTCCATAACAGTACAGTATCTAATAATAATCTAGTGCTGACCTTCGATGCTTGCTTGTGTACGAGGGGGCCTGTTCCAAGCTGGTGTCAATCACAGCCTGCCGATGGGCTTCCTTTTTGCTGCGCAACTGAATGATAAAAAAGGGGAGAGATCAAAAATGAAAACTTTTATTCCACTTAACAATGCTGTCTTTATTGATTCTGTCTGGTGGGATGGGACAAAATCTGCTCCTCTGTATACGAAATACCAGAGGGGCAAATAAATCTGCATCAGCTAGTGCTATCTTCAAAGGACTGGTCAAGATCAAGGACAGTAGGAGCAAATGGTTGTGATTCAAACCAAAAAGCTCATGGGAATCAAACTGAAACTGTGACTGCTTAGTTTAGAGAAGTACTCATCTCTTCAAAAAGATAGGTCCATTAGTAGCATTTAAAGTATTTCAGTGCAGGGCAAAAGACAGCTGTTTCCCCTCTGCACTACGATACTGGGAAACAGAGGGGAAATCCCACGAGTAAACATCTGGAAAGATTTGCCAGATATCAACTAACCTCCTCCTTAACTAGTATCCTCTTCCAGATGTGTTGGACAATAGCCAGTAAGGCCCTTGTGCTTTGGTGTTGTAATGTATGATCCTGCAACTCTTTCAGCCCAACGCATGCTTCCCCACCCCCACCCACCCCTGGGTTGTTGTGAGGAAAAGAGGAAGAAGGAATATTAGATATCTTCGCTATCTTATTTTAAAAAAAAATATCCGGCTTTTTGAGTGAGCCATGGTGGCACGGTGGTCAGAATGCAATATTGCGGACTAATTCTGCCCACTGCCGCAAGTTCAATCCTGACCGCCTAAGGTGGACTCACAGCCTTCCATCGTTCCGAGGTCAATAAAAGGAGGATCCAGATTGCAACATGCTGACTCTGTAAACCACTCAAGAGGGTACTGAGAATACAGCACGGCGGAGTATTATCTAAGTGCTTTTGCCGCTTTTAATAAGACGGAGGCCACTGGAGGAATATCAACCTGGTCCATCCCCTTGAAAGAACAGAGGCTTTGACTTGCAGCACTCACTGCCATGAGGAGGTCCTGAGTCAGCCCTTTATCTTCGGCCTGTGATTCCTCTGGGTGGGGAAGGAGGAAAAGGAAAGAGGGGAACTCCCCTCACCCCCATTCCATTGGTCTCTGATCATCCTCTTCCTCCCCTGCAAACGCACTTTTTTTTTTTTGCAACTAAAAATCCTGCAAATGCCTTCAGAAGGTAGGCCAGGACCTTGAACTCTGGATTTCCACCCCCCACCCCCTGCCTTTTATTGGGACAGGCTGCTCCTTCAACTGGTTCTCATAGGAAAACTTCCAAGTTGAATTACAAAAAAGAAAGAATGCAAAGAAAGCGCCTTTCAGCTTTGCAAAAGGACCTTGAGGCTGATCTGGTTCCAATCCACAGCTGGAAAGGGCAGAAAGCTGACAGGCAGGAGGGAGGCCCATCCTGCTCGCTTTCCCTTGGGAACCAGCCCTTTTGTCTCTGTCTCTCTCTCTCTCTTTCTTCCCTTCTCCTCCTCCCCGCCCCCCCCACCAACCAGCCCACCCTACCAGTCAAGCTTTTGCCTGAAACAGATGAAGAGGGAGGTTGATCGGCTTCTCCAGATCAGCTGCTTCTGGGAGGCCCACCCTGCAGCTTCAGAAATGCAACCTTTAGGCTGGCAAAACTCAAATTAGGTTGACAGGCATGCTGGCCTCCCTCTTTGACCCTTTTGCCCTGGGGGGGTGAGGGGGTCATCAGTATTTCTTTAGCCTTCCAGCTCTTGCCGTTTCTTGAGGGCCATGCAAAAAAGCAATGGAAGAAACAGAGTTTGGGAGGTGTATCTTTTATGCATCAATTAAAAAAATAAATGCACTGGAATGCTAAAAAAAAAAAAGTTCACCCACATCCACTAAAAGCCAAAACTCTTACATAAAGCAAATGCAGGCTTCCTGGTTGCCTGATCTGTGCAATACACACACACACATACACACAGACACAGCAAATTAGCATTTCTTAGTAATGGATTATGGTATATTTAGGACAAAGTACACATTGACACAGCTGACTTTTAAAAAATAAGATTAAACTCTCAGCAATATATGATGGTTGTCAAATTTAACCAAAGCATGATTTAAAAAATCAGCTGTAGTAGGTTAAGGAAATTCTGGTGTATCAATGTACAGGCCAAATACACAAACTTTACATTAGAGCTTAAAATTCATCAGGCAAGGCAACAACTGAAACTGTTTTACAATCACAGGACGCCACAAAAAAGAATTTATTATATTCAGACAATTTTGGTATAGACTTGACCTACTAGCCAGGCCAGACTTGATCTCTTCCATCCCTCTCAAGGGTTTATCATATCTTATGTATTTTTTCAGAGCCAAAGGCCTTCTGAAGGAAGCTTACATAAAAACATAAGAATTACATCTCAAGGAATCCCTACAATTGGATCATCGTTATTAGGATAAATTGTATCAGCAAGAATACAACTGTGCAAGAAATCTGAAATGAATTACTGTAAAGAAAGCTAGCTAAAATAATGTGGAATAAATAGATAGCACTTCAAAACTGAATTCTACCAATGAGGGACTTATCAGTGAAAAGGTTACAGTTCTGATCCAAAAATGTATTTATCTGTTTTGCAACTATTATAGCCCCTGAATCCATAGGGACTCCTGGCAGCTAACAATAAGCATAAAAGATACAACCCACCCACCCCAACTCCCAAGAAACACAAATGCAACACAACAGAAGCTGGAGCAATCAAATAAGACATAGACCAAGCATGGCTGGAAGGAGAATTCTGGGAGCTGAAGTCCATCCATCTTAAAGTTGTCAAGTTTAGGAAAGACTGGATGAAGCCATTCCAGCTTCTCTCCAAATGCTATCTAGAAAGGCTGTTTTAACACATTTTTGGAATATTATTAGGATGGGAGCTAATATAACTTCTGGAAGGGAATGACATCACTGAAAAAAAAAAACCAGCTGTCTCCTCATTTGTACAGAAGTATGGGATTACTAGCAGATTACACACATACCAGGTGGGATCAATTCTGGTTGGAAAAGATGGTCCTATCAGCCAAGTTGTCAAGCTATTAGAAGCCAACACAGCACCAATGTTACATGACTATGGCAGCTCTTACCTGCCAGCAAAGGGCAGTTTCCAAGTGGTCTTCAAAGGCAGTCTTGTGCAAATCACAATGTAGTAGACTAGATGTGTAAAAAGAGTGTAATTTATCTTTACCAGTTTCTCCCAGTACAGGTAGGGATGCAACTGGTACAAGCTGGGCAATACTCCCTAGTTACATCCTTCCTCTGTCAATGGATCAATAGCAGTGGGGCTTCATCCCTCCCCCTAAAGTTTTGGGGCTTCATGAATTAAACACTGGAATTGACGAACAGCCTCTCTGATCCACACTGGTAGAAGAATTCTCCCAGTGGTTTTGTCTTTTCATCAATTTCGTTCCTTGCAACATGGCTAAATTTTACTATACTGTCTATAAAAGCAGACATGCCCTGTGAACTGCCTCAATGACCTAGTTAGGATCTTGTGTTGTTTATATTTTATTTGAAATGGAAACGGTTTCCATTATTTTGTTCACTCAAAGGAATTCTGGTCGGCAACGGTAAGAAAAACCCAAGGGAAAGGCATGGGGTCATCCCACAGGGAGAATCTTCTCAACTCAGCCCCCAATCTAGCCTAAAAAGTCTTCCAAACCTTGAAGAATCCCACACAGAAAGTGACTTAAGCACGAGCTTCAGATGTTAAGAAACTTTCTGCATAAATACAGAAGTCTATCACAATGCCCTTCTGATTCCACAACATAAATGGAATTGAAGAAGAAGAAAACCTTTCAACAACCCATCACTCACATCGTCTTGTTTATGCTGCAGCTCTTCCAGCAGTGCCAAAGTATCTTCATCTGCAAGATCGCAGGGACGCTGGCCCTGTGGCGGGAGAAAAGAAAGAAGATCAGGGGGAGGTAGGAGCCCTTGGCAGCACAATTGCCTCAAAACCAGCCAGCAAGAGAAGGTAGAAAAATACAACGGGCACAAAACGGATGGCCCAACTGCAAATGCCTTCAAACATCTGCTCCTTCTCCGCCCCCTCCCCCTTTGAATTTGTTAACAGAAATATACACCGACTAAAACCAAGTAGAGATAAAAAGACAAAAACGATATGAAGAAAGCGACCCCAAAGACTGGTCTGATTTTCGGAGCGCTCCTATCTGCTTGCTAGCTTCCAGCCATTGAGGCTTTTAGTGGAAAAACACATCAGTTTAGGTGGTGTGTGTGTGTGTGTGTGTGTGTGTGTGTGTAAGAGTGAAATTTGGGGTGAGGGTTAGGGATTTATAAGGGATGAAATGAATGCCTTTATAACAGCCCTTGTTTTGATCGTTCAACTCTTCCCTAAACAGGAAAAAAACTCCCCAAAGGGATGGTCCGGCTTTTGGGGGGTGGTGGTGTATGGATGGAGTCCAGATTGCAGCCTGAAGCCTGGAGGTTAAAAAAAAAAACAGGATGAAAAAGAGAAAGCATGAGCGAGAGAGAGAAGGTAAATTTGTGGCCTTTCTAGGATATTCTCCTTTGCCAGACTCCATTACTCCTCTACTTCAATCCAGCGCAGTTGGCTGTAATGAATTTCTGCCAGAGGAGAGCATGTATGCGAGACTCCGGTGATCAATTTCAGATTTTTCCATCCCACATCGCCCTGATCTTTTCGATATTTTCTATTCTGCGCAACTTTCAGTTGATCAATCAGGCATAATGAGGTCACCCTTTTCCTTTAGAAGAGGCCAAAAGAAGGCCGGCCAGGGAGGGGCCGTGGATCCAAAGCACATTTGCTGTCCAGAGGCCCTATAACTGGCAGTGATTGATTCCCTCCATCGGTCCTATTGGAAGGATTATATTTAAAACACAACGAAACAGGGAAGAGAAGTGGGATGGTGACAATATTCTTCCCCCAGCCACCACCCTGCTGCCAAGAGTGTGGGAGGTTTGCAGAGGCTTTGTGAGAAGACACTTCATGCTTACTGATGCAACTGGCCTACGAGAAGCCTAAAAAAACCACCCCCCATGAGGCAGGAATTCTATTGTCTCATAATTAACAGAATAACAGAGTTGGAAGGGACCTTGGAGGTCTTCTAGTCCAACCCCGCTGCTTAGCAGGAGACCCTCTACCATTTCAGAAAAATAAGGTCCAATCTCTTCTTTAAAACCTCCAGTTTTGGAGCGTTCAAAACTTGTGGAGGCAAGTGGTTCCACTGAATATATCTTAATAACTCTGATATATAATCAACAAGTAACAAGCAACATTCAGGTGAGGACAGTCTCCTCTCAACTCTCTCAAGAGAAATGCCTCTTCTGCGATGAACACATGATGTACCATACCTACCAGAACTATTAAACCAGCTGCTTCTGTTGTACTCCAGTTCATATTGATGTAAGAGTTAATGGATTAATCTTTTTTTAATAGCTGGTAATATTTTTATTTTATTTATTTATCGAGTTTAAATGGTTGCCCAACTCATATACGATGACTCCAGGTGGCTTCTAATATTAATAATACACAACCCATCCCCCTCCCCCCCTTTTAAACTTTTACAGTATTTTGTAAGGCTTGTTAAGTCTTGTGAAATACAGCATGATGTTGAAACAAGCAGCGTGGCCATCTATTTTCCCCTCACCCTACCAATGTCTTCCCTAACGACACAGATAATTTTGAGAAGGGGAATTTGCCTTATACTAAGACACAGAACTATCTAACCCTACATGACTCTCTATTCCAGCTGGCAATGTGTTTTGCTCCCTGGTCTCAGGTAGAAAAGAGTTTGATGGCCACATGGAGTCCATTAAATCTAATACCCTGCTCCATGCAGAAATAAAAACATTCCAGACAGAGACTGTCTGGCCTCCACCTGAACAAGCATCTGCCATGAAAGTGAGCTTCCTATTCTTCTGTTGTGGTCATGAGTTTCTCTACAAAGGGAGATGCAATTTTTCCATAACCCACTAACTGCCCCTCAACCCGCTTCTCTTACCACATTGTTGAGGGCCTCCATATCACAGAAGTGCTCAGCCAAAAGCCGGCAGGCCTCCTCCACTCCCCAGTGAGCTGCTGCATGTAGGGGCGCCCAGCCATCTTTGTCCTGCACATTGGTGTCGTAGCCAGCTTGCAAGAGCAGCCTGCAACAGAGCAAGGCAAGGCAGGGTGAGGGTAACTAGGGGCTTCTTGTCCCTGGGAGAACAGAGCTGGCTTGTGGCAGAACAAATGGGGCACAGTAGAGCCAACCTGGACAGAGAGGATTCTAGAAATAAAAGGTCAGAATTCAGGTTTCCAAGTTACCCACAATTGTTAGGGACAGATTCCTGAGGAGAAACTTCCACAATTTTGAGCTGGGTTAGGATTTTTTTGAACAAGAAGTGTGGTTAGTAAAGAAAAAGACAGGTAGGGGTGAGAGTTAAGAACCCAGGTGGTTCCCTGACAAAAAAGAGTAAAGTGAGAAGTGTGATTTATTGGAACTCCTTTCCCTCACCTTTCTTCTTTCTTTTGAAAAGATGAATCCCAAGTACTAATACTTCCATGTTGGAAACCAAAGTGCTTTCGTGGTGAAACGATTTCCTGGTGACCTCACTGTTGCCTGGGAAATGCCCAGTTGGGGACTCCTTTCATGTCCCTGTAAAGTTGCCTACTGAAGTGGTACCTGTTTATCTACTTGTGGTTGCCCACTTTGGAACCGCTGGATCAGGAGCTAAAGTGTGTGATGGGAGCTCACCCAGACCCGCAGCAGTAACAGGTCTCGAACGTGAGGCTGCCAATAGTCAGTCCACTTTTCTAACCTCATGAGCCACAGAGCTCCTCAGAATCCCAGGTTAAAGAAAAACAGCTGAGAACCAAGATCCCTTGATTTTCCTTGAAGAAGCTGAGAGGTAGGTGGCTGGGTGGGGACTGACATCTCTTTGGCTTTCCTTTTTCCATATGCCCTGCCTGTGCTTGGAGGACGTGTGGCAAAGTTGATGGGGTCAGCAAACTGGCCTGCCCCCAACCCTGCTCAAGGTGGGGTGGGGGGAGAAGGCTAGGCAGTCCAATGACTTGCGCAATTAACAATCCATACCGGTTATGGTGAGGTTAACCACAGACGAGAAACGCTCAGGAAATGGGAGGCACTCACCTCATGACCTCGACGTAGCCTTTAGCAGCTGCCACATGGAGGGCAGTGGCCCCAGTTTTGGGGTGAGGCTCATCAGATATTTTTCCAGCATTCAGCCAATGGCGAGCATCACGAAGCATCATCTCTTCTTCCTCTCGCTTGGCCACCTCTACATCTATCCCTGAAAGCAAAGGAATGGGGTCACGTGAAGCACAGATAACCTGCGGCTGAAAAATTCTGAACGGAAGTCCCACATTATAATGCAGATAACACACACATATACTTCTTTTTTTAATAAAATGAAATCCTAGCAATCGAATCTTTGGAACTTTTCTTTCCATCTCAGAAAAAGAGTTGGGATCACATCATAGGACCAGCATGTATTTTGTGATGTAGCTCCAGTTTTATTATACACATGTTCAACTAAATTCTTCGTATTTTTTGGATTCAAATGCAAAATGGATGTTGCAATCCACACATAAAGAATTCATTCTGATAATTTTTAGGAAATTAAAATCAGCAGCAACAACAACAAGGCAGCTCTGAAGATTCACCAGACCTTAATTAAGCCTATTTCTGTTCTCTCTATATATATACTATATGGATGTGTATATTACATAATCTGCTATATTGATTTTTACAAAGCCACTATGGGTAGCCCACTACTTACAACAGTTCATTTATCGACCGTTCAAAGTTATAATAGTCCTGAAAAAGTGACTTATGACAGTTTTTCACACTTAAGACCATTGTTGCATCTCCTTGGTCATTAGAATTAAATTCAGATGCTTCAAAATTGGCTCATATTTATGATGGTTTCGGTGTCCCAGGGTCAACTTTTGTGACCTTCTGACAACCAAAGTCAATGGGGTAGCCAAGATTCATTTAACCCTAACTTAACACCTGCAATGAATCACTTGAACAGCTGAGGCAAGAAAAGTTGTAAATGGGGCAAAACTCGCTTAACATAACAAATGTCTCACTTAGCAACAGAAATGTTGGGCTCTATTGTAGTCATAAGTTAAGGACTACCTACAGTGTTTTGTTTTGTTTTTAAATGGTGAAAATGTCATCTTTCCATCGCCAATTAGCTAGAAGAGAACCACCTAATAGGCCATCGGAGGGAGCAGAGCTGCATTTGCTATGGCTGTTTGTGCCTTACCTCGTTTCTCGATTTCTGTTCGCAGCAAGGCCTCCATGCTGTCAGCCTCAGCAATGTCCAGCGGCACGTCTCCATCACTATTCACCGCAGCAATGTTGGCACCGTGGTCCAAGAGGTATCTGGGCCAGACAGTTAAGCCCAGTCAGATCCGTGGGCCACCCAGCCCCCACACCAGGCCTATAATCTCTACAACCCAGCAGAAAGGGCCATCTGAGACGGTTGACGTTAACCGGCTTCCTGCAAAGCTTAATCCGGGTAACCTAGTCTGCTTGGGTGTCAAGTACAAAGTTCAAAGACCGTGGACTTTAAGACCTACCTGCTGACTCATTTTCTCAGACAAAACTCCCCCTCCCTTATCACGGAAGATGAATGTCAAGATACAGCCAAACTTTACAAGTTTCCTTGCAAGCTCCCACACCAAACGCAGCCAGGACTCTTTCTCTTCAAACAGGATTGCCTAAAAGTTACAATCCTCCAAATGCGTCCAGTATTTTTCACGGAGTGTGAAATGTGTGACACTATGATTAGCAGGCTCTCTCACCCATCTCTCTTGAGTTTCTCCAGCTAGGAATCCAACATAAATACTAGGATAGCTGCCTGGAGAAGCTCAGTGACTAAGGGGACAGTGAGAAACGACACACTGCAGTCACTCGTACCGAGAAGGAATTGTAAGGCTGGCTGAGAGATCTGTGGTTCTAGGAACTTTAGGCAAAAAATGCACAAACCCTCGCCCAGCCCAAACTCACTGTGCAATCTCATTGTAGCCACAGGAGGCAGCAACGTGCAGCGGAGTCCAACCTTCATTGTCTGCCTGGTTTACATCAGCTCCATTTTCCACCAGAAATTCAACCACCTCTATATTTTCGTCAATGCAGGCCTGGAAGAATCAGAAGCTTCCTTATCAACCCCATCTTTTGTCTTATTTAATACAAAAGTCTTCACCTCATTTAAGAGAAAAGCTCCCCTCACCAAATCCATCACCCTCCCTTCCTTCCCCAGTGCCGTAAACACGTACCCCATGGTAGCGCTGCAGGGTGGACGATGGCTAAAATGGCAACCCTTAAACAGGGAAACAGAACACTGTAAATGTGTAATAGATTTTACACCCCACAGAGTGGGACTGAGAAACTAAAGTCCCCGGCAATTTTGTAATATTTGTCTCGTTCTGAGTGCAGCTGATGACGGAAAATGTTATCCCAACTGGGGAGTGGGCGAGCACATTTGACCAGGAAATAAACAAGGTTTTCAAGCAGTAAGAGGATTGTGGATAGGGCTCAACTACACAATAGACCACAAATCTCGGGCGCAGAATGTTTTGAGGAAAAAAGTGCACAGGTTTCTAAGATGGGAATGAAATACGCGGGTTATTGGGAAGGAGCTTTGGGAAGGTAACCTATCCAAACAATGGAAACTCTGTGATGCTCCCGAGATTTCTGAACAACCCCTAATAAACCAAGCCAGAATGCCCAAAGGAGAGAGATCCCCGCCCTAAATTCAACTAATAGACCAGAAACCAAAACTTGAACCAATATAGGTAGTCCTTAATATACGACAATTGGGATCAGAATCTGGGTTGTTGAGTAAAGCAATCATTACATGAGTTCCCACGTCACTGTTTTGTCCAGTGATCATAGTCTTGGCCTTCCTGGTTGTGATTAAGTGATCTTGTAAGTTGTCAAATGGATCAAGTTCCAAGAAAGCAGATTTTTTTTGGGGTGTGTGTGTGTGGAGAAGCTAGGGAGATTATGGGAAGTTCAGCTCAGGACCCACAGGAGTGTCTCTTGGCCCAGGAGCTAAAAATCCTCCCTTTCACTCCTTGAGCAGAAAGCATCCTTTTGTTAATTCAAACCACTGCTAATTCAACCATCGCTAAGCAAACAATACCTAGTAAGTCAAGGACTATTTGTAATGATTCAGGTGAGGAGACCTGGAGATTGAAATGTAAATCTCATATAAATTAGATTACAACCTCCATTATTCCTAGGGAAAAAATATCAGATTGGGAACATCTGTAGTACTGAAGCACAGCTTGTACTTGCAGGGGAAGGGAAGATGCCACTACAACTATTGCGATCCTACAATTACAAGAATTTTTTTTTTTTTTAAAAAAGATCATGCACACATGCAATTAGAGGGTTTATCTCAGGTATGAAGTCTATGCAAAAGTTGATATGGACATGTGGAGATGCTTTTCTCTTTCCAAAGGCTCACTGCACACCCTCTTGATCTGACTTCTAGTCATAAAGAGCTAGTGCAGAATTCTTCAAGCTACCAAACTTCTCAACCCATTTATATCGTGTTGGAAAAGAAAACTTACATTTTATTTCTAGAGGTAAGATATGAATGGATAGGCAAGAGATACGATAACTTAAGTTTCCAGGGAAAGCTATATCATGCAATGATAGGCCTGACCCAAAACACAATGCAGCAAAACTATTATTTACTTATTTATATAGATTACCATCTGCCTGTGACTCCAGCAGCTTAAAAGGTTAAAACAAAAAACAAACAAAAAGGAGATAAAGAGCAACCGAAAGTCAACATATAACCATCCAGCAGGGGCTTAACCTTCACCCTTCTCAAAAGCCTGGAAAAGCCAGGTCTTTGATGGCTTCTTAAATATCATCAGAAAGGAAAGTTTTGATCCTGCCCCCCCACTTGAAACCAGGACTAAGCCACAGTTCCAGGGTTGCTTCAAAGTCTGGCCCACTGATTTGGATTTGATAGCACAAACCATGTTTGACCTGATTTGATTATGTACCATCAAGTGGCAGCCACATGGATAGATCACATAGATCAGGGGTGTCAAACTCGATTTCATTGACGGGCGCATCAGGGTTGTGTTTGATCTTGGGGAGCCAGGATGGGCAAGGCCAGCTTGCCGTGGATGTCGCCAGCTTGACATCACCCGTGTCGGGGGCATCTGTGGTGGCCTGAGTGCTCTGCCGCACCCTCCCCCCCAGCTCCATTTTCACTGGCAGAGGGCAGCAGGAGGCCGTCCCAGCAGAAAACGGAGCCCGGGAGGGCTGCATGCGTCTCTCCCGAGCTCCGTTTTCACTGGCAAAGGAACCACGGGCCAGTCCTTTGTTGTTTCCAGGGCGGCCTCATGAGCCAGATCTACGCACCTTGCGGGGCTTGGGGGGGGGGATTCAGCCCATGGCCCTCGAGTTTGACACCCCTGACAAAGAGCAATATGACTGGGTTCAGAAATAACATGTGGGAAGTTGCACTCTTGAGATAACTATGATTTGGATGAAAAGGCAAACTCTGATTTATGCAAGGAGGAAGTCTGTGAAAGTGAGGTGAGAAAGCAGGGAAAACACACGAAGGGCTTTTTATTATTTAGATCAATGGTGTTAAACCGTGGCAATTTTTAAGACTTGTGGACTTCAACTCCCAGAATTCTGGGAGAGGAATTACACAATTCTGCTGGCTGGGAAACAATGCTAGCAGGGGAATTCTGGGAATTGAAGTCCACAAGTTTTTAAAGCTGCCAAGGCTAGACATCCCTGATTTAGATGGAAAGTCATAGCATGATAGTATATTCAAAGCAATAGGCAGTGGTTCTTTTTTTTTGGGGGGGGGGGTGCTAATTCTCAAAGGGCTCCTTTTACACTCCACACCAGATATGCTGCAAGATGGTATATAGATATATGTCAAAAAATAATCACAGGAGATTTCAGCATCTACCAAAACTTGGAGGGAGGGAGGGAGGGAGAAGGAAGAAAATTGGACCAGTAAATCTTTGATGTCTCTTCTAATGTCAGAAAAATGCAGCTGTGCTACTTTTCTTCTTTCAGGCACAAAAGGCATCAGAACTGAAGGCAGCTGCTTTTGCTCAGTGCTTTCATCTGCCTTTAATAACAGGTTTTGGATCCGCAGTCAAGCCATGCAAAATAAAACCGACTGAAGCAATAACAGCAGATGGGTATATGATATCAAAGAGCCACAGAAGAGGGGACATTCTTCAAGAAAGAAAGGAAGGAAAATCGAGGATGCTGACGGTGGGTGCGGGGGGGCAGGTAGGTTCAACTTGAGCATTCTCTCAGAAGGCCGGTTAAGGGAGAAAAGGTCTCGGGGTTCGTTAGAGGCTCAACAGACTGCTTTGCACCCATTAAGACATCCTTCCATCGTGCCTTTTTTGGTGCTGTCTGATTTCCAGCAACTCCCCGAGGACATGAGCAAGTTTGCTGAATGCGTCAATCCAGGCCACCATCCAGGAGAAAAAATAAGTGGAGTAGCCCTCGCACCATGGACAGTCAACGCATTTTGCCCACTTCCAATGGAATAGAATAGAATTCTTTATTGGCCAAGTGTGATTGGACACACAAGGAATTTATCTCGGTGCAAATGCTCTCAGTGTATAGAAAAGAAAAGATACATTCGTCAAGAGTCAAGAATCATCAGGTACAACACTTAATAATGGTCACAGGGTACAACAATCAAATCATACTAGGAAACAGTCAATATAAATTGTAAGGATGCAAGCAACAAAGTTACAGTCATACAGTTATATGTGGGAGGAGATGGGTGAAGGGAAGGATGGGAGGATTAATAGTAATAGTAGTGCAGACTTAGTAATAGTTGAACAGTGTTGAGGGAATTATTTGTTTAGCAGAGTGATGGCGTTTGGGGAAAAACTGTTCTTGTGTCTAGTTGTTCTGGTGTGCAGTGCTCTACAGCGTCATTTTGAGGGAAGGAGTTGAAACACTTTGCGTCCGGGATGTGAGGGGTCTGTAAATATTTTCACAGCCCTCTTTTTGACTCATGGACCTCGACTGAAGGCAGGTTGGTAGTAATTGTTTTTTCTGCAGTCCTAATTACTCTCTGAAGTCTGTGACTGTCCTGTTGGGTTGCAGAACCAAACCAGACAGTTATAGAGGTGCAGAAGACAGACTCAATAAAAGTGCTGCTGTTCTCACACCTACACCTAGAGATAGTCCTCCACTTACAACAGTTAGTGACCATTCAAAGTTACAACATCACTGAATAAAGTGACTTATGGCCGTTTTTCAGACTGACGAGCGTTGCAGCATCCCTCTGATCACATAGTCAAAATTCAGACACTTGTCATCTGTCTCATATTTATGACGATTGTAGTGACCTGGGGGCAGGTGATCACCTTTCGCCACCTTCTGACAAGCAAAGTCGATGGAGGAACCAGGTTCACTTGACAACCGTGTGACTAACTTAACAACCGCAGTGATTCATTCAACAACTGTGACAAGAAAGATTGTAAAATGAGGCTAAATTCACTTTTAACAGTAGTCTCACTTAGCAACAGAAATGTTGGGCTCCATTGTTTCTCTAGGGCCAATCTAAGCCATGCCACAGATAGAAGTGCCGAATTTTGAAACTGAGATTTTATAAAAACACTAATCCCATCCCTAAATTCCCACATTTAGGCTGCAAAATTCCAGGTGCCCTTAGATGACAGCAAATAGCCATAGACATCTCTGCAGTTATCTGGTAGTCATCTGGATTTTTGGTACTCACTAACCAAGCTATATGGTAGAGAAAAATAAAGGTTAAGCCATTTCAAAAACAATAATTACCTTGTATCATAAGGATGCTATAGCTAGTGCATTCCCCACTTAGGTGATCTATACAGTATATAATGCTATTCCAGAACAGCTGGATTTATACATACATCATGGTCAAAGCAAACCACATTACAACATGGCTGTATGGTATGCTACACTTTACAGAAAATAATCCTGTCCAAGGGGTCACTAATCCTATACATTTCAGAATTTTTTCTCAAAAAAAAAAAAAAAAGCTCTAGCTCAGCTGGTTAGATCTGCTGCTTAAATGTTCTGGGCTTTTAGTCACTGTTTCTCTGACTGAAAAAAGCAGAGATACAGGTTGGATAAGAGG